CCTTCTTGCGTCAATAATCGGTATGCTCTTGCTGTTGATGTTCTTACTTGGGCGGGCCCGAACCCAATCAAGGGGCACAAACCATGACGTAAACCTGGAAAATTCCGAGGTCCGCGCGTGCTTCCCAGATCGGCGCTGGACCCCCCTCCCTGGCGCGCTCCGCGCGCCAGGGGCGGCGCCAGTGGCGCCGCCAAGGGGCCGCAGCGCCGATCCGAGGAATCCGCGCGGGCCTCGGAGTTTTCATGTTTATGTCATTGTTTGTTCCCCTACAATATACTTTATCCGCCGTCCCCAGCCTTCTGAAAAGCTGTCCAAGCCTTCCCCGAAGACGCCAAAGACTTCTCAGAAGGCGCGAGGGCTTCCGAGCAGCCCCCCCTCTTCTGAGTAGGCTTTCTCCCTCTGACCTCCCCCCCTCGCTCGCCGCGGGCTCTGGGCGGGCCCAAGCCCAGTCTACTCTATGCGCCCTTCCTACTCTATGTGTTTCCGCCTACTTCTTCCGACGGGCGGGTAGGCAGTCCGGCAGACTGCTCCGAGCACAGCCGCCGGAGGCGCCGCGCTCCCAGGTCTCACCGCCGCCCCCCCTGTCCCGACGGACTCCACTCGGAGGAGGGAAAGGTGCCCCACACCCTGCCTTCTCGCTCTCTGCTCCTCCCTCCTCCTCCTCCTCCTCCTCCTCCTCCTCCTCCTTCCTCTTACCCACCTCGGCGGCGCCAGGCCAATCGGCGCCCGACGCCGAGGACAACGCGGCGTTCATGCTCACGATGGTCGCGATGGCGCCCTTCCAGTTGTACCTGGACTGCGCCAACACGCTGCGGGTGCTGGCAGGCGGCGCAGGTGCCGGGGCCAGGGGCGCTGACATGCGGCCCCACCTGTGGGGGCCATTTTGGGCAGCGTTCGACGAGAACGACTTCACCGCCCACAAGACGCTCGGGCACGCGACGAGCGCAGATGTGGACGCTGGGCGCAGCACGCACTGGGAGAGGCGCGCCAACAACCACGCCGACGAGCTGGCCAAGAGGGGCGCGGCCAGGCATGGTATCGGCGAGCCCGACGCGGCCCTGTGGCGAGGTCTGCGCGTCCTCGCCGAGGAGGCGGCGTGCTGGAGCGCCTCCCTGGAGGCGTCGCTGGGAGACGGGCCAAGGCCAGACCACGAGGATGTTCTTCGACGCCAGCCTGCAGGCGCCGCCGGGGCTGGCGCTAACTCAGGCGAGGATGCAGCGGCGGAGGCAGATGGCGAAGGAGACCAGCTCGGCGACGCGCCTCAGGTTGATGCTGTTCTGGCCGCGCCGCAGCAGAACTGCGCCAAAGGGCCAGAATCCCGGGTTCGCGACCAGATTCTTGGGTTTCCGGTTGTCAACCCGGGATTCTGTGGTGTTCCTGCTGAGGTGGCCTCGGAGGGAGCTCCAAGTGATGGAGCTGGCGCTGGACCTGGAGGCGGCGCTGCCAGGCTCCCCGGTCCCCGCCTCGATGCCCTGACGTTCGACCTGGACGAGGCTGTGCTGGCCAGGCATGCGTGGAGGGTGCATGGCCACGCGCTGCTCCGCTGCGGCGTCGTGCAGAGGCCCGAGGTGCGCCTGGTCTTCTGCCTCAACTGCGGTGCCGTGATGACGGGCAAGCGGCCTGGCAAGCTGCTCAATGCGCCGTGCAATGGGCGGCGAGGGCGGCGAGGAGCTGGGGAGGAGCAGCTGAGGCTCATCCGCCAGCTCAGGTGGCCTCACTACCGTGCTGGCCACCAAGGCGATCGGCTCGTGGGCCCCTTCGCTATCGACCTTGACGAGCGCCTCGACCTCTCAGTCAGCCTGCTGGGTAGCCAGGGTGCTGTGGCTGGAGGCGCGCAGGGGGCAGCATGTGAGGCCGTGGAGGCGCCGCCCGAGGGGAGAGCGGCTCGGCTCCACCTGCTGCGATGCCATGGGGTGCGGGAGTCCGACATTGAGGAGGTGCGCGAGCTCGGGCGGGCAGCAACCCGCGCAGCGACCAGCCTCGGAAGTGACTCCGAAGACTACGACGAGGGGCACATCACGGGCTGAGGAGGCCCGCCCGCCCCGCCTGCTGCGGATGCAGGCCACACCCATACCCATACCCTCCTCCTTCCTCTTCCTCTTCCTCTTCCTCCTCCTCCTCCTCCTCCTCCTCCTCCAGGAGCTGTCAGGGCCCAAAACCCGAGCGAGCTCCCACAGCGCCGCATGCCATCACGACCACTGATGTGCGAGGCGTAGAGGGCGGCACGCGAGGGCCAGGGCCGACTTGGGACAGTTCCTGCTAGACACGATCTACTCCACCCTCCCATAGTACATATTGCCGCAATGAAGCTGATTTACCACAACGTTCAATGGGCAGATTTTACGAGACTGGAGGAGATATCCACACACACAAAATGCACGGACTTTGTGATATGTATAGGAACAGGACGATGGGCTGAGAGCGCTGACATGACGGCCACCCAATGTCAACTGCCCAACCACAAGTGCGTGCAGATGGGCTGGCGCAAGTCGCGCACATCGAACAACTCCTGCGGGCTGGCGGTCATGTACGGCAAGCGCGTACAGGGATCGCTACAGCAGGTCGCAGTGCCGCCGACAAAGCTGGGGATCACAGGCAGAGTGGGCATGGTGAGATTTGCGATGCAGGGCTTGTCGATCGCCATCTTCCCGATCTACGTACCGCCGAAGGGGATGGCAGCAAATACTCTTCGACAGGTGACAAAAAGAATTCTTCGTTGGATATCAGACGAGATCGACAAACTGGGACATGCATGTGTACCGATAGTGGCAGGAGATTGGAATTGCGGGTTTGGATACCAAGTGGACCAGACGGGCAAGAGATTTGTGCAACATGATAGTGAAGAGATTGGCACGGCCGAACTGACACACGAATCGCAAGTATCACGTCTGGTTCGGGACTTTCTGGAGGAAAATCACCTCAGCATGTTCGACGCGTACTGGAAGACGGGGCCTACCTTCTTCAAAGGACCCCATAGTAGTAAGATAGACCACGTAGCGGGACCAGCAGCCATGAGAGGACGTATACAAAGACTGAACACACTACTGGGGCTGGGAAGGCGACTACAACGATATATAAGTACACACCTCCACGACCATGTCCCAGTGCTGATGGAATTAGACATCAAGCCGCAAGAGGTCTTCCATGGCAAGTACACCCCCGCCGTCAACAGAGACCTTATGATGGCCGCATATACCAGCGGAAGGGGACGTCTTGAATATCTCAGAGCGCTGGAACAGGAGGTGACCGACATCCCAGAAGAACAATGGCGAGAAATATGGGATCGAGGTGACGTTCAGGCAGCGTGGGACAAGCTCTCGGAAAGCATACGCAAGGCAATGCAGCAGGTCTTCCCAGCCAAGAAGCAGGACATAGTGGACTACGAAGGTCACAGGAAGAGAAGAATGGAACTACTGCGACTGCGTGGGCGGCTACGGGAACAACTTCATGCTACGGGGCTGAAGAGTTTTACAGAGAATGGAAGCACAGCATTCGATGAGATAGAGGACGAGCTACGCCGACTATCGCGCAGAATGCAGACGTTACGTAAGGAACAGAAGAAAGAAAAGATGGAGACACTAGCTGCAGAGATTCTCCAGGCTTGGAAGCAGGGAAGACATGCTGAAGTACATCGGCTGAGGGTTCAACTTGCGGGACGAGGCCGAGGACCGAAAAAGAGGCTACTGTTTGCACCACGACAGAGTATGACGCTGAGTGAATGGAAGGATGGTCTTGGAAGCAAACCTCACGAAGGAGGAATGGATTGCAGACAGATAGATTGGGACGAGTGGATTGCAGACAAGTCGTTCATGCCCCACATATACGGTTCGCATGAACTGACAGAACACGTGCGACAGGACAGAGCTGGTCAAATAACATATCTGCGACGTGCGCCCAAGCGGCGTGCGGGCCCCGCATGGGGCGTTTTGGCCGAGGCGTTGTGCATGGGCATCGACGCGAGGCGCTACACCAACGAGCATGACAGGAAGTACGTGCCAGTCAATTTTTCTCGTCGTTATAATGATCTACTGGCACTTATTCGGCTCACGGGAGCCTTTCCTCTCACCGCCATTAGATCGCAGGCTTATGCAGCGCCCAAGAATAATTCCAAGCAGGGGATTAAGGGCCAGAGAATCTTGCACTGTTTTGACTCTTTTGGCATGTCATACTTCGGACACCTCCAGAGGACATCTCGAAGACCAAAGGCGCCAGATTTCGCACACGGGGGGATACGAGGTCGTCGGAGAGAGGGAGCCATCTTGAGTTTATCTGCGGCCTGCTGGAGATGCCGCACAGCACGAATAAGTCACAGCATGTCCAACTACGATGGCACGAACGCATTCGCATGCACGGCACGTGACAAACTGCAAGCACATCACCACCGCTGCAGCAGAGCAGAAAACACGCACCTCATGATCCAGGCGATAGACAACGCGAGCATACACATTAATGCAATAAACGGTGAAGCCGATTTCTTGCCGCAGACTGGCACAACAATGGGACACTCTCTTGCAGCAGGAGATTTTATTGATATTTACTCACCCTCTGTGAGCGAGTGGAACTCGTATCTGGGGGAGGCAGATTACTCTTACTCCCTGCTGCGTGGCCAGTGTCCGATCAGCAAGACCACCGTGGACATAGGCATTGGACTTTTCGTTGATGATGTTTCCAGAGTACACGTACATGCATATGCACCGAACGCGAAGTATATCACACAGCAGCTCAACCACGCGACGCACACACTGCAGCAGCACATCAACACGAACGGGCACCACCTGAACATGGATAAGACGAACCACATGATCGCACTTGCAGGCGCAGGCTCTTTTGAGGCGGCCAGGGAACTTGGGAGACAGAAAAAGGTACAGGGAGAAATACTTCGGGAAGTCAGGGTCCTTGGACCGATCATCAGCTTCGACGGGGTCCTCAGGACAGAACTCAAGAGCCGCATCAGAGGAGCGCGTGCAGCATGGCGTTCGCTAGGACAAGTATGGCACGAGCACCTCCCGTTCAAGATGCACCGCATGTTTTTCTTATGCTTTGTTTACAGCGCAGCGATCACAGGTCTCACAGCTTTCGTTTTGCCGAAGGAGTTTACGGACGAGATTGACTCGACACTCGCCAAACTCCTCAGATGTCTCATGAAAGGCAGTGCGGCTACAGAATATGATAACGGACGAGTACGGACGATTTCCAACAGCGAAGTTTTTGATCATTGGAAGCTTAGCCGCACTGCCACAGAGCTGAGAATTCAGAGAATACGCTGGTGGCAGCAAATTTCGAGGGAGCCTGACAACCATCGTCATGTGCTCACGGCCATGTTCGGGACAACAGAGCTCGACATGCAGCTGGGCAGGCGCAGGCTCAACCAAGTTGGCACGCTGACAAAATACAGTACTCCTTGGGCAGTGCAGTGTCTTGAAGATATGAAGTTTGTTGCGCAGTTTGCGCGCGACTTTGATGAAGCATGGACTGATAAGGAAAACGTCCTCTTGCCGTTCCAGGACTCCACCCTCAGTAAGATCTTTGTGAAGTTAAACATAGGCTCCCTGAGGCACCTTATGAGCACGAAGAACATTACAAAGTGGAACAAGGTACTACAAAAACTAGGACTTCGGGAGATTTCGGAGGAAAATGCGATCAAGATGGGGATTCTGGAGGTACAGAGTAACGTTAGCAGCAACAGCAGCATCGCAGAGGAGTTCATATGCACGCACGAGAACGAAGACGGCACTATATGCGCAAGCACGTTCAACAGCATGAAGGCATTAACAGCACATGTGACGCACGCACACAAGATGAGGAATCTATATGCGCTACTGGTTACGACAAATGTTTGCCCGTGGTGTCGCACAGCCTTTGCGAGTCGAGCATCATGCCTGCGACACGTTCGCACAATGTCTCAACGGTCTCCTCGTTCTTGCCCGACCCGATCAACGTCATTTGCTTTTCGGTTCGATGAATTACCAGTGTACTACTGCGGCTTCTGCCGCCACGAGGATACCGAACTACACAGCCATCTGGACCACGTGCAGCAGCACGCGCCTGGCCCTGTCAAAGCACAGCATCAGCCGAGTCACGAGCCGCAGGGCGACGAGCACGATGTGGCGATCGTACGGAGAGAGAAGCGGAGGAAGACCACGATCGGAGACGATGGACCGCGACGCCAGCGCATCACAGTCACCCAGCAAGTACGGAGGTGGCAAGGGGAAGAAACTCAATGGCAAGTCGAATGGATCCGCCAACGAGGTGAGCAAGGACGACGAGATGGTGACGATCGAGAAGCTGTGCCTCAACAACGCACAAATCGTGCGACAACTCTCGGGCAGCTTGTGGGACTTCTACCTGGTAGAGGGAGAGCACACGCCGTCGGAGGCGGGAGCCAACGAGGGCCAAGAGTACGCCAACAAGGTACAGAACGGAGCGAAGAACATGGGCTCGCCGCACGTGTACATCGGAGCGACGTTCTTCGAGGAGCTGGCCAGCCTGACTACTACGCCGTCACCGTACAAAGAGACCCTCGAGCAGTTCGCCATGCTGATCAACGTCATCCACGTGGACCATTTCGGGGACATACTGCCGTACTTCAAGGTCAAGAAGGCATACAGCGAGGCAGGGATGGGCACGAGATGGAAGATACACATTCTCTTCAACGCGCTGGCGATGAGCCCGTGGACGGAGGAGAACGAAACCAAGATCAACCAGCAGCGCGAGGCACAAGGACAGACGCCGATCAAGCTGGAGCAAGCTCAGACCTACCACCTACGCCAAGCGACACACGTGGCCATCACGAACAGCGGGGGCAATGCCATCGTGGGGGCGCCGCCGCCGAGTGCACTGGAGCGCCGCCTACAGAACTACCTGCGCGAGAGGCTCGCACACGGGTGAGGCAGACAGTAGGTCGATCAGCAGCCAGCAAGCAGGCAGCAACCAACGAGGCAAGCAAACAGCAAGTAAAAATTCACGAGCTTAGGCAATTAGCAGCCAAAGGCAGCGTGAGGGCAGCAGAGCTGCTCTCGAGACTCGGCAAACGCAAATGACTGTCTGGGGGAGTGTGGGGGGAGCTGTTTGGAGGAACATTTGCGCAGCCGAGACTCGTGCAGCGGCCCGTAGAGTAGCTAGAAGTATCACGCGTATAGGCCTCGGGGCCTTGCGGACTATGAGATTTGATGAATACACAGGCTCACGCCAGGACGTGCCAGCAGCCCTCATGGAGGCCTTGCGAAGGGTCATCCTCTCTTTTGTTGGGCCTCCTGTCATTTCTCTTGTATAGGGCCTCCTTTCCTCAGAACAGTGCTGCCCGGCAGCTCACATCAGACTTCCTCCGAGGCTGCTGAAGCACTGTATAGAGATGAATGTGCCCAGACGAACGGGCAGAGATCGGCTTTGGGGCGGGAGTTGGAGTTGGAGGTGGGGGGTGGGAGTGGTTCCTTCATAATGCAGCGACGAGTAGAAACGACCGGCTTCGACTCAGGCAAATAGCGTTTCTTCCGACCCAAGTGCGGTGGGGATGGGCCACAGTGTCATAAACCACCGCCCTGGACTGAGTGTTTTGAGTATGGACACAGGGGGTTCGGCCCTGAGCCGTAGTGGGCCCAAGGCCTCGTCGGTCAAGAGGGTCCCACAGGCTCCCTCGAGTGTCCGCCTTTAAACCTGCCAGCAGTAATCCGACTCGCTGAAAGCGAGTTACACGCGAATCGAGTTTCCCGACCCGAACCGCGCCGCTGCCGAGGCTCTCGACTCGACTCGACTCCTCCTCCTCCTCCTTCCTCTTCCTCTTCCTCTTCCTCTTCCTCTTCCTCTTCCTCCACCCCCATCCCTCTGCACCCATGGTGCCCACAACCGCTGCCTGTGCCTTGTTTCCCCCTCCTGGGGCTTCCCGGGAGGCCCTCGTCGCCACCGCTGGATTCGCCTCGACACCCTGGTCAGAACCCCAGGAGAGGTCGGGGGAGTAGCGGTACGGGTGCCTTGGGGCGCTAATTAGTGGGGGGGGGCGATCCGTGTGGGGGGGGGGGGGGGGGGAAGCGAGGGCCGCAGAAGAAGGGGGCCAATTTAGGGCCCCCTGAAAGCGTCCTGCAGGGCCCCAGAGGGGGCTTTTTTGGGGCCCGAGAGAGGCACCCTTCTTCCCCCCCTCGTTTTTTCGCAGGCCTACAGGTTGACACCAACGCCAATCTCGGCGGTGTGCCTCCAACGAGGGAAGACCGATCTCGGTGATGGTCGTAATACTCTGGCTTCCAGGGTGGCCCAAATATGACCACCAGCACCGAGATCCGGGATCATCTTCCCTGTGTGGAGGCACCCCCCTGTGTTGGTGTTGGTGCCTGTTTTTAGGGCCTAGAAACAGGCACCAACACCAACACGGGCCCCGAATCAGAGTCTTGGGCCTGAACAGAGAATCAGAGCTTGCCCCCAAAGGACGCTCTCGATTCTAGGCCTCCAACATTTCTCGCCCTCCCATGAATTCGAGTCTGTGCTTCGAGCTTCCCAACCCACAGGGGGCCCGCGGGACCCTCCAGGTCCAGGTGAGGGGGTAGGGCGAGGGGTAGCCCCCTCCCCCGAGCAGGGGAAGGAGGGGGAAGAGAGAAAAACAAACTCGTTATATCACCGTAGCCCTAAAGGGCTGGTGGGATTCTACAGGGAGGCTGGAAACATATGAGGCGGCCGGGCCCGGTTGTGTTTGTTTTGTTTTGCCCCCCGGTTCTTTTTTTTGGGGGGGCGGCGAGGGAAATCTTGAAAAGGGGTACTGCAACCCGTTTGCGATTCCAGCCGCTTGTGAGTTTTTTTTGAGGGCCGCGCGCGCCCCCCAAATGGCGCGGCGAGATCCTTGTGTTTCCGCCCGCTTGTGTTGTTTCATGTCGGCCAGCACGTTTCGATTGTCGTTTGCGGCTCCGCTGGTCGGTTCATTGATATCGATTCTAGGCCTCCGACGTTTATCGCCCTCCCATGAATTGGAGCCTGGGTTTCGAGCTTCCCCACCCACCGGGGGGCCCGCGGGACCCTCGGAGGACGACGCGCGGAGGCCTCCGCCGCGGGAGCCCGCGAGCTCGGGATTTCCCGGGCGCGCCCGGCGGGCAGGCGCGGGGCTGGCGTCAGGCTCGGGTCTCGCGCGCGAGAGACGCAGCCATGGAAGCGTATGGGAAAACACACACACAAACACACACACACACACACAAAACACACGCAACAACACACACACACACACACAAAAAAAAAACACACACACACACACACACAAACACACAAACACACACACAAACACACAAAAACACACAAAACACACACACACAAAACACACACACACAAAAAACACACACACCAAAAAAAAACACAGACTGTGTGTGTCTTTCCCATAGTGTGTGTTTTTTCCCACAGACTGTGATTTTTTTCCACAGTGTGTGTGTGTGTGTGTTTTCCCACCGTGTTTTTTTGTTTCCCACGTGTAAGCTCGACTTGGCGTTCAACCTATGTAAGCCATGCAAGCCATGGCCATATATGCAAGCCATGGCCATATGTGTAAACCACATCTGTGAGCCATGGAAACATAGATGTGAGCCCACGGAAGGTTGAACGCGTCCATGTGAGCTCGACTTGGCCGTTCAGCCTTCCACGGGACTCTGAGAGTGAGACGGTGGCGCGGCAACGACTGACGCCGGGCGCCCAACGACGGACGACGGACGACCGAAGAGTCTTCGGTCGTCCGTCGTCGTCGTCGGTCGTCGTCAGTCTTCGGTCTTTGGTTTTCGGCGAAGACCGAAGACCGAAGACCGAAGACTGACGACGACGACGACTACGACTGTCGACCGACGACTGACGACGACGACGACAACAACGACGACGACGAGGACTGACGACTGAAGACAAACGTCCGAAGATCGACGACGACGATGAGGATTACGACGACGACCACTGCGACGACCGACGACGGCGACGACGACGACGATGACGACGACTGACGACTGACAGCTGACGGCGGACGACTGACCACTGACGACCGAAAGCCGAAGATTGACGACGACGACGATGACTCACGACCTGACGACGACGTAACGATTGACGACCGAAGACCGAAGACCGAAGACTGACAACGATGACGGCGACGGGCGGGCCAGGCGGGCGCACCCTGACGGGAACGCCGTGCGGGCGTCCACGATTGACGACTGACGACCGAAGGCCGAAGGTTTTCGACGGCGACGAGGATGACTGCCGACTGACGATTAACGATTGGCGTTTGACGATTGACGACTGCCGACTGACGACTGAAGAGTCTTGAGTCGTCAGTCAGCAGTCGTCTTCGGTCGTCAGTCTGCAGGACTGACGACCGAAGACATATGATTGGCGAGGACGGACGACTGGTGACTGACGTCTGACGACAGAAGACCGAAGACTGACGATTGACGACTTATTGAAAAAGACCAAAGAACGACGACGACTGACGACTGACGAGTGGCAGCTGACGACTGACGACCTGACGATTGAAGATCGAAGACCGAAGACTGACAACGACTACGACCACGACGACGACGACGACGACGACGACGACGACGACGACGACGACGACGACTGACGACCGAATGACGACGTGACGACTGGCAACTTATGATTGGCGATTGACGAGCGAAAACCGAAGGTTGGCGACAAAAAACGACGAAGGCTGACAACGACGACGACTGACGACTCACGACCCACGACTGAGCTTGACGGCTGACGACTGGCGACTGAAGACTGACGACTGACGACTGTCGACTCCGACGACGACTACGACAAGGACGACGACGACGATTGACGACTGACGGCTGACGACTTACGAGTGTCGACTGAGGATCAACGACCGACGACCGAAGACCGAACACCGAAGACGGACGACAACGACGACGACAAAGGCGACTCACGGCTGACGACTGACACTGACGAATCACGATTGACGTCGCACGATTGACGATTGACGAAAGAAGACCGAAGACCGAAGATTGACGACGACGACGACGACGACGACGACGACGACGACGACGACTACGACGACTGTGGCAACCGACGACGACGACGACCGTCGACTGTCTACGGAAGGCTAGTGACCGAAGGCCGAATACTAACGACAACGACGACTATGACGACGACGACTGACGACGACGACGACGACGACGACTGACGACGACGACGACGACGATGACGACGACGACGACGACGATGACGACGACTGACGACACTGACGACTACGACGACGACGATTAGGACGACGACTGACGACACTGACGACGACGACGACGACGACGATGACGACGACGATGACTCGACGACTGACGACTGCCGACTGACGACTGACGACTGACCTTGGACGATTAACGACCGAAGATCGAAGACTGGACGACGACGACGACGACCACGGACGACTGACGACGGGTGGGTCAGGCGGGCGCACCCTGACGGGCGCGCCGGGCGGGCCTCCACGCCACTTCGTGTCCGCCCGCTCGCCTCGCCTGCATGAAGACTGCCCGCCCGCGTCGCCGTCATCACGGTTGTCGTCGTTCGTCGTCGTCGTTCTCGTCGTGGTCGTCGTCGTCGTGGTCGTCGCGTTTGTCGTCACAGTCGTGGTCGTGGTCGTCACCGTCGTCGTCGTCGCCGCCGTCGTCGTCGTCGTCTTCGTCGTCGCAGTGGTCGTCGTCGTCGTCGGTCGTCGAGCTCATCATCATCATCATCATCCTCCTCCTCCTCCTCCTCCTCCTCCTCCTCCTCGTCGTCGTCGTCGTCGTCGTCGTCGTCGTCGTCGTTCGTCGTCGTCCGTCGTCGTCGTCGTCGTCGTCGTCGTCGTCTTGGTCGTCGTCGTCATCGTCGTCGTCGGATAGGAGGTCCGACCCCTCCCCCCCCTTGGGGGAGT